GCCCCGAAAGGTTAAAAGTTACCTTCTCAGCCCCTGAGTCTTTGTTTGAAGAACCTCTGTTTCCGTCCGTGGGGTTTAGGGGCCGTGGGCGTAGGTCAGGGAGAGCAGTAGTTTCTCCTACCCAAAGCCGTAAATAAGCCCAGTAGCTAAAACCTGTGTCATGTAGCGCTGGGGAACACAGGTTTCGTTGAGGATTACCAATCCCAAGTTAGTTAGTCAGGTCACATGAGCTGTCTTTGTGATCTGGTTACCAGAAGCCCTAAACTTGCAGCTTTTAGGCTCGAGACCTGTCCCTAAACCCTAACATCCGAAATCCCAAGACCGAAAAACCTAAAACTACGACCTATGACGCTTTGGGCCAAGCGCGGGGACATCAACTTTAACTTCGAGATGTGCTCAGCAAAGCCTGTGAGGGACCTTAAACCCTAAACCCTAACATACCAAACCCTAAATCGTCGACGCTTGCCCATCGACGACGACGATGCTCTACTCTGCTAAACTCCGCTGCCGTTACCCCCGCCCCCCCCCCCTAGCGGCTAAGTGTTCCGCCTATTTGGCTAATTGTGTCGCCTGTGCTGTGCTGCTGCGAGGCTTATGGGTTTAGGGTTTAGGGAGAACTGGTTTAGGCTTTGGTTGTTGCTTTCTCTAAGGGCCCTTTTCGTACACAAGCATCCAGAAGCGCGGCTGGCTTTAGGGTTTGACTGAAACTCTTAGTGCTTAGGTTTTTATTAGGTGTAGGGTTTAGGCTTTAGGGTTTAGGGTTTTAGGGTTCGCGCGAATTGCCAGAATCTCGAGATCGCACGGGATCGGCCATGAACCTGCAAAGCTAGATCGTTTAGGTCCATACAAAAAGCCCCGTTGAACACTACACCTTGACATCGAACCCTAAACTTCAGAAACCTAAACCCGAAACCCTAAATTTTAACACCCTAAACCCTAAACCCTAAACCCTAAACCCTAAATTTTAACACCGAGCGCTAAACTTCAGGCCCCCGAACCTCCCCCAAACACACACAACTGAAGCCTTAAACTCCAAAGCGTCTGACCTAAACAAACCGCAAACCCTAAACCCTAAACCCTAAACCCTAAACCCTAAACCGAACCTAAACCGTGAACCCTGGACTCTAAGCCCCAAACCCTAAACTCTAAACCCCAAGCCCTAAACTCTGAACCCTAAGCCCCAAACCCTAAACCCTAAACCGTAAACACTAAGCCGTGAAGACCCTACCGGAATCCTTTCACTCACTCCTAACACTGACAGTCGAAACATGTCCGAAGTCGACGGTTCTACAAAGAATTGAGAGGCCTCAAGCATTAGGGTTCAGGGTTTTGGGTTATACTTAAAATAGGAATTGGTGGACATTTTATGGTAACTAAAAGAGGACGGCAAAGGACGTTTATGTACTACCTATTCCGGCTACTACATTAAAAGGATTTCAGGGATATGAAAAGAGCTCTATAGTCCATAGGATGAGTAGAAGTCTCTACGGGAGTGCTGAAAGCTTAGGCTCAAGATGGGGTACGGTTTACATTCAAAGATGTCTGGGGTTTGATATCTCGTTCGGAGCCCAGTTCGCGGCCACCAGTTCTACAGATGCTTCGGAGCTCAACAGCTTGGGCTTGGGATTTCAGGGCATCGAGAGTTTTCAGGGTTTAGGGTTTAGGGCTTATAAGGGTTTAGGGTTTAGGGTGCTGCCCATAGAACCACAGGGAGAGAGGAGCCCCTAAAACTCTGTACCAACTCTGGGCCCCGAGGGCTCTGGAGATTGTCTCAACATCAATGAGTGAATCAAGACCCCTAAACCCTAAACCCTAAACCCTAAACCCTAAACCCTAAACCCTAAACTTCAAGAAAGCCCTCCTCCCCAAACCCGAAACGCTAAACCCCCAATCCGAAACCCTAAATCCTAAACCCTACAACCCTACAGCCCTAAACCCTAAAACACCCGAAGCCCTAAAACCCGAAACCCTACACCCTTAAGGGCTGAGTACCCTAGCCCAAAAAAAAGTTAACCTGTGAAATTATAGTAGGATCATAATAGCCCCAAAAGGTTAAAGGTCATCTACCTATCAGCCCCTTAGAACCCCTAAACCCTACACTCCTAAACTCCTAAACCCCGAACCCTACACTCCTAAACCCTAAAACCCTAAACTCCTATACCCTAAACCCTACATGCCTAAACTCCTAAACCCTAAGCCCTAAACTCCTAAACCATAAACCCTAAAGCCTAAAGCCTAAACTCCTAAACCCCAAACCCTACACTCCTCAACCCCAAACCCTGAAACCCTAAACCCCAAACCCTAAACCCCTAAACCCCAATCAAACCCTACACTCCTAAACCCTAAACCCTAAACTCTACACTCACTCCTGAACCCTAAACCCTAAACTCCTAAACCCTAAACTGCTAAACCCCAAACCCTACACTCCTAAACCCTAAACCCTAAACTCCTAAACCCCAAACCCTGAACCCCTAAACCCCAAACCCTACACTCCTAAACTCTAAACCCTAAACTGCTAAACCCCAAACCCTACACTCCTAAACCCTAAACCCTAAACTCAACCCCAAACCCTACACTCCTAAACCCCAAACCCTACAACCCTAAACCCCAAACCCTACACTCCTAAGCCCTAAACCCTAGACTCCTACACCCTAAAACCCTAAACCCCTAAACCCTAAAACCCTACACTCCTAAACCCTAAAACCCTAAACCCCATTATAGAACCCTAGAGAAACCTTATAAGGGTTCCTTGACAGGGACCCTAAACCCTAAACCCTAAAACCCTACACTCCTAAACCCTAAAACCCTAAACCCCATTATAGAACCCTAGAGCACCCTTATAAGGGTTCCTTTAAAGGGACCCTAAACCCTAAACCCCGTGCATCCTCAGACTTCTCCACCAAAGCCGACTTCATCGCGAGGGTCTTGTCGAACTTCGACGCGATGATCCTCGGATGCTTGAGGCCTTCGGGCTTTCGGGTCTTAGGGTTTAGGGTTTAGGGTTTCGGGTCTTAGGGTTGCATGTAGGAGCCTTAATTAGAACAGGGTTTTGGGGGCTATTATTATACTATAATTATAATAAGAAACCCCCCAAAAAATACTATAGGTGATTATTGAGGC